GCTCTGGCGGATGTATGAGTTCCGGCACTACGCCGAGTTTGGCACGGCTGAAAGCCCTTCAAAAGCCGAGGAGAAGCCTGTAAGGCTCGGCACAAAAGCACAGCCCAATGCGGAAATACCAGCGAAAAACGCTTTGCAATTCAATTCTTCAATGAAATCGACGAAGAATCAAAGATATGTAAATCCGGCTACCGGCGGCAAGGATGCAAATCCGGCCGCGCCGACCGACTTTGCCGCTTCTTCATCTTCTGAAGCTGCTGCCCAGGCCCACATAAACTGGGCAGAATTAACGGAGGATAGCAACTCCGAATATGAGGGCAACTTCACCGTTGTCCAGAAAAGAAAGAGACGTCGCGGCTCGGCGAATTCGTCTCCAGCGGCCGCACCTTCCTCCAATTTAGGAGGTGCCAGATCTAACCGCCGTCCACAATCTTCGGCGGGATGGGCGCCGCGCGCCCAGGAAGTCAGAACTACCCGAGCGCATATCGTGGAGGCCAGGGCGCGACAGGCGTCTTCCACCGAGGACCAATGCGTCTATGTGGAGCGCAGCCCTGAACTGGAGCCCTATCACTACATGAGGGCCATTGAAAGGTTGTTCGGAGGAACCAGGGAGGTCTTCCAAATGACCAAAATGAACGGCCACTTCCTGGTGGGACTGGCCAACAGAGGCCTGGCCGAGCGCCTCGTCAACGAGGGCCTCGAGGTGGAGGGAACACTCCACAGGGCTTTCCCGTTCCGCAAGAGGGCGGTGAGAATAACAGTGGGAAACCTCCCCTTCTTCGTGGGGGATTCAGCCGTCATCAGCGCCCTGGCACCGTTTGGGAAAGTAACATCAATCGCCCCAAAACTGATGAAGGCTGGCTCTTACACCTACAACGACGGCCGCCACGAGGCGTTTATCATCCTCCGCGAAGGAATGGCAATCGAGAGGCTTCCCACCCGCCTAGACATCACCATCAAAGGCGAGGCCTGGCCCGCATACCTGTCCTCCGGGATTAGGTGCTCCAGGTGCCGTGGCCAACTGCCCACTGCTGGCAGGGCGAACCACCGCTCCTGGACCGGCCACACCTACCCCTTCCACCAGCGTCCCACCAGCGACTGCGACTGGGCTGCCTCAGCAGCCATCTGCCCAGCATCCACCTTCGGCGTCCCCCAGTCCAACCATGGAGCTCTCCGACGTGCCTCCCGCGAGCCGTGCCGCGCTCCTTCCACCTGCTGCACCCCGGGCACCACCACCAGCGCCTTTGGCCTTACCTGTGGAGGACACGTCTCCTGCCCCTCCACCTGTGATACCAGCTCCGTCCTTGCGGGCACCTGGGGGTTCCGTGAGCCCTCAATCAACGAAGTCGGAACCCCCCGCTCAGGACATTGAAATGACCGCCATCGAGGAGTCCTCCGCTTCCTCTACATCATCGAGCAGGAAATCTACGAGAGATGACCTCGTGGCGTTCATCCGGAGAAGCCCCACCGTGTCCTTTGCTGGGACGGACGCTCTTGGGCGGGAGGAGGTCTTGGACCTCCTCTCCTCGAAGACCAAGGCCCAAAGAAAAGGCTCGCTCCTGACACCTCCGCAGAGCGATGCTCTTGCCGGTCTAATTAAACAACTCCTTGACCTGAAGCCCGCAGGCAATACCAATGTCTATAAAATCTTACATCAGGTCAAGGCCGAGCTGAAGACCGGACCGGCGGCAGTGCCCCCAACACCTCCACTGCCTGCGCCTCGGTCTGCTCATCCGGCGCCGCCCGTTCCCCACGGAGAAGAGACTAAACCGGCCATGACAACACCTCCGCCTCCACTGCCTACCTAGATGGAGGAGGAACATCTGGACCCCCAGGACTTGTTGGAGGACCTATTTGATGAGCTGAATTCAGACACTGAATTAAAGCCTTTACGCGACTCAGGGTTCAGCACGTACGACCTCGTCTATGCAATCCTACACAGAAACGAGAGGGCGCTTCTCATTGCGAAACTCTCGCCTAGCCAGAAGACCATCTATGCTGGTTTCATTAACATCGTCATCGAGCGCACCCAGCACTGCGATAACCATATTCGCCAAAGATTAGCCAGCTTCAGGAAGGCCCTAAACTCCTGACGGGACCCAGGTGTCCCCTCGGTGTGAGCTCCACCTACTAATGTAAATAGTAACTTTCCTCTTAACTTTTCGGAGTGAAATATTGACAAATTGTCAATAAAGTGGTTTTAATTGTCAATTGCTTTATACATAATACAAAGACATTATACATAACGGCGAATACATAATAATACAATTACTTTATACATAATACAAAGACATTATACATAACGGTGAATAATATTATTACGGCGAATACATAATAATACAATTACTTTATACATAATACAAGGACATTATACAAGTACATAACGGCGAATAATATAGGTATTTCAATTTTTTTTGCAAGTGTTTACGAACCTTTGGGATAACCTTGTAAAATTGATTTCTTAGGAAGGTGTTCTTTTGTTAGAGAGGCAATTCCAGGTTGGTTGTGCTATAATGACTACTGTCCTTAAATTTTGTCTATGAGAGAGAGAGAGAGAGAGGGAGAGAGAGAGAGAGACAGAACAGAACATTTCTACAAAAGAGGCACTTTGGTTTATTAGATATGTAGCAGGATAGATGAAGGCTATCTTGTAGAGGCTATATTCTGCTGGATCCAATCTTTGTAGACTGATACCCGGGTATATACACCAGAAACCCAGGTTTGGCACACTGGAACCCGAACGACACCACGCCCACGATGGACCATTTGGACCCTTCGAGCAGCATCAGGGGGCCTCCTGAGTCCTTCTTACCACTCGCGGCAGAAGTATTGAATTGTGTTGCTTCATTGACAAACACTTCGTAGATATGGCCTTCGTCCAAATGTTGAATACATAGACCCTGAATATGGCCGAATAACTTTTAAAAGGCTACAGCGCCACTGTTGTGGCTTTAGAGACCACCCGTTGATTTCACCTCGCTTATGTCTACTCCCCAGGCATCTCCATCAAAAGAGAAAATTGCTCAAAGTATAAACGGTAAAAATGCCTTTCTTTATTAATGAAAAATGCAAGCTTTCGGATCTTTATAACCCTTCTACAGGCACTTTTAAAGAATAAAGAAAGGCATTGCTACCCTTTATATATGTTATATTGAAATATTATTTTATTTAAAATTATAATTTCATAGATTCAAATATTCTGTTAAATCGACCGCCAGAGGTCACGCTTCCCCTATAAAAACCTCATTGTTGTTGTTTCCCGATGGCCGGCTCAAATCTTTTGTACATTATGTAAATAAGTTTTCCATTTTTTTCAATTCTTACGCCTTAAGCCAGGCAAACCTTTCTCAAATTATGTTTTTTATTTATCCATAAGTTCAATTAAAGCTATTTATGATAGCTAATTTTTATTATAATCTTTTCCACGATTGCATACCAAAATCAAGCCGAAAATATCTCTATTTTTATATTATATATATAAAATTAAAGGAATTAAAAGCACGAATATTTCTTTTATACATAATACAAACTTCTACTGCCCTTACTGCGATGAAAAAAAATATATTGGGAGGGCTTGGCTCATCAGTGGTGAACCCTCCCAGCGGTTTCGCCAATTTAATCCACCAGACCGCTTCTCAGAGCTATAAATACTGTATAAATACTGTAATAAATACTGTATTGGACGATTCTGCTTATATACGCAGCACTGAAGGGTGGAATCTCAGAAATGGTTTTCAAGAAAACTATGAACATAAGCTTATAGGACAGTAGAATTACATTCAAATATATATATTATATATATATATATGTATTTTATATTTTGTCTATGAATGTATATTTAAAATACAATATAACGCGGCTGATGATTGTAAAACGAAAATTGCAATTATACCGCGAATGTTTCTTTTAAACAAAAATCGAAATCTATTTTTAAAGAGAAATAACGATTATTTCTAACTTTAAGGATGAAGTATGATAGGATGAATTGTGAAGAGTAATGACAAACGGAAAAATAAAAGTGTCCAGGGGCGGGAATCGAACCCACAACCTTCTGATTTACCGGGCAGGTGCCATGTCCACTAGGCTACCCTGGATGTATTTTTCCGTTCGTAAATAATATTTAAAGTAACTTATAATACATTTAAAATACAATATAACGCGGCTGAATGTATATGTTGAAACGAAGGAGCTTTAAGCCAAAAAACATACAATTTATTATAAAGAAACATACAGCTTTCTTCTTAAAACTGATCGTGAATTTAAAGGTTGCTATTGGTTAACGCTATCTATCGGAAAATTTATTAACCAATAATTGATTAAAAATAAATCCTGTATATTATCTAAATACCTTTTTTTGTTATTAATTAATTTTTATAATTAATCGTTGATTTTTTTTATCTTTTCGTCCATTTCATAAATTAGAATTGAGAATGAGTTTGGTAATATATTTTACCTTTGATTTTTAATACACTCTGTAATTATGAAAATGGAACCTCTTTTTAGGCTTTAATATAAAAAAATCCCTTTTATAATATCAATTTGAGTGAAAAATTCCATCAAAGAAAAAAATTAAAAGAATATCTTGCCTGTAAATGGAATTTTTCTTTTAAACATTGTTTCATGGTTACTTGCACTCGCTGGTGGGGTTGGACTTTTACAAGAATCGGGGGTCATTGGAGCATTTTTTTTTAATCAGAAAAAAAGTGACCAATGCGGGAATCGAACCTGGGTCGTAGCGGTCAAAAACCAACGGTTTAGACCATCCTTCCACCGACCTCCTTTGATCAAACAATAAAATAACTAACCAATAACAGAATAGAGAGTCCTACAAGATGATTAGACAACTGTAATAGAACCATTTTATAAAAATATATTGTAGTTTATTAAGTACTTATCATTGATTATATTGCCACGTGGAAAATTAGAGAAGAAAAACTTCAGAATGTAACAGAAATTTAAGGCAAGAACAAACTATGAAATGATAAACAAAAGATAAGCAACGAGGGAAGGCTGGTACATACTCTAGCCTTCTCACTGTTACCATCTGACCAGAGATGACATTCTGGACATCTAACGGTGGTAAAAGTGGCATGATAATATATCTCTATGTATCTATCAACTGTTTGTAAGCTATTAAATTATCTCCCCCAGGATGATCACGACTACATCACAAAATATGAGGGAGGTTTACAGAGCAGAATAATATAAACATAAAAATGATACTCTGTTAAAAAAATAATGAATACTTTGTAACAATATTTCCACGTAGAAAATCAGGAAAGACAAACTTCAGGATGACACATTAATTTAAGACAAGAACAAACTATGAATTATAAACAAAAGATAAGGAATGAGGGAAGTTTACAGAGTAGCATAATATTGTTGCACCCTCTACCAAGCATCTCTACCAATTGTTGCACCAATTTGCAGCTTTGCAGGGTCGTCGACCTTGGTTTCTTCCTTCTTGGTGTTATACACGTTTCCCAAGCGGGTTTCCATACTTAAAGCAAATACCTTCGTCCAAATTTTTATAATACTCAATTTGTTACAAACCACGGAAATTTCAAAAGTTTTTTAAAAGAATAAAGGCAGTGGAGGATTCAAGTTGCTTTTGTGGTATTGAGGAACAAACCACAAGACATCTACTGATCGATTGCCCAGCATTTCAAGATTATAGAATGAAGAATGAGCTAGTTGTTTGTGAACTTAACGATTTGATTTCCGATAAAAAATCATATTTAAAATTCAATTCATTTTGTAAATACATTCTAAACATTCTACAAAATCTAGATCTCTAATGTTTTCATGCGTTGAATAATGTAAATAACTTATGTAAATAAACTTTTCTCCTTGTTTGACGCAAGTATCCCTTGCGGGATATAGCGCTTTGGAAATAAAATAATTGTAAAAGCAAATAAAGGAAAGTAAATAAAAATAAATTACCTTTTAAATTTATTGTGTTTATTTATTCGTTGTCTTCCTCGTAGGTCGTGACCCGCAGTCTAGGTCCTCTCTCGCTCCAATAACCAATCAAGATATATGTACAATAACAATATTACAAAAGGAATGAAACTATAAAAAGGAATGATGATAATCGAAATAATCTGTTTTAAGTAAATATTAAATATCATATAATATTTTGAATAAATGTAGGGCGCATTGATGCAACAATATAAATATAAAAAATGATACTCTATTAATAAAATAAAAAAATACTTTGCTACAATAGCTAACCAATAACAGAATAGAGAATCCTACAAGGTGATTAGACAACTGTAAAATAACCATTTTATAATAATATATTGAAGTTTATTAAGCTCCATTACTCCTGATAAATACACTACTTCTTGCAAAGGTTCAACCCCACCAGCGAGTGCAAGTAACCAAACGGGGCTTTGACTCATTTGTAAGTGCAAAGTCGAACTGATTTTCACATGTGTAGACATGTGGTGCACTTACAGTAAAAGCAGTCGCCTACTTCTACCCACCATGATTACCATGGCCTGTACCACGTGTACTAGGGATAAGCAAAAAAAAAATACACTACTTTGTTCTTCACAGGCAAAGGACCCTATTTAAGTTTTCCCTTTGACTTGAGAGTTATAAATGATCCAACATGTGAATGCTGTCTAGATGCTGAAACACCAGAGTGTTGGCTTGCCCTCTGACTAACCAAATTGTACTTGCTTACTTTGATATAATGCCATCTTTCTGTATATACTCAATCTTATGAAAACTTTGGTAAGTTTAGAACAATTTGTACACAGATTTATAAATCACTACTAATTCATCGTGTAAATAATTAAAGATATATATTACACAAATAAATTTACTGGCAATGCGTTTCTTTTAAATGTCATCAAATATTATCTCTACAGACCTTGGTATCACCAAGACCTCTCATTCAATAACTCATATCATTGCAGTAAGGTCTGTAGAGATAATATTTGATGATATTCAAAAGAAACGCATTGCCAGTAAATTTATTTGTGTAAGGTTTTAACGATAGATGGCAATTAAATTTGATTTACTAAAGATATATATCTGAAGAGACAAGGGTCGCCTCTCCCGTCAAAATAGACGTCTAAAACCAGACGCCATCTATTGACCGTTTCCGCAACTAGCGGGCTCTGGTCGTTGACAAAGCTACAACACCAGCTTTGTCACCGACCCGAGGCCGCTAGTTGCGGCGACGGTCAATAGATGGCGTCTGGTTTTAGACGTCTATTTTGACGGGAGAGGCGACTCTTGTCTCTTTAGATCAATTTCCTCCCGGAAAAATTTCCATCTAAAAGATATATATGTAAATAATTCTAATATAGCACAATATATAGTCTGATAGACTTCGTGCTTCTGTAATAATAGATTAAAAATAAAGTTTATTAAGTACTTATCATTGATTATATTCTAATCAATTCTGAGTGTGTGTGCGCTATTGAATCAGTTAACTTCCCAATATGACAGTGTCCTAATGTCACCTGTCATAGAAAATCGATAGCTGACAATCAATTATTGATTTTTATAATCGATAACTTCGGTTATCTTCCATCCGTAGTTTGAAAGTAATTCTCGCCTTGTGTGATCACCTGTTGAGAATTGATTGATCAAAATAGGATATTGGATCTAGTCACCTTCTTTACCTTGTGTTTAACGTATTTATCATCAGTTGAGTTTTCTTCTTATGGGGTAAAGTTTAATTCCTATATGGAGATATCACTACATACGAATTTATCTAGCTTGAATTCATATTGTGGCGAAGAAATAATTTATTATTCAATATTATACAATGAAAATATATGACAGATTATTTTCAACATGTGCTCCTGGTCATGATATGCCTACTTTGTTTTTAAATATCAACACTTGATCCACTTATTTTTTTCAATTGTTTTTTCATATATTACTCTGTATTTGTAAAATCATCATTAAAATATTTCTTTACATGCTTGTTCAAGATTCTCTAGCTGTAGATAGTTTGGTTGATAATTGTCGATTAGTCGTACTGACGTCATCAATAAATACTTTGACATCTTAAGATATACAAAGAATTGATTTCTACGCTACAATATTTTTCACTATTAAAGAATTAAAAATAAAGAAGGCATCTCCTGACCACGAGCACATGTGCTTTTTAGATGGCAGAGCGCCATCTAGTGGAGCAAAAATAAACTAAACGTTTATTTAGCTTGCTCCGTGATATTTGGCCAACCCAATTTCTTGATAAATCAAGAAAAGCCATCCACGAACGCGTTTCGCGCTGTTGGCGCTCGTCAGCGTGGAGCAGGCTGTAACCACTGCGACCAAAAATATGTTTTGGTACAATGGCTTCCCGAGAAATCAAGAAATGGGTATTTAAGGCCAAATTTGCGTAAAGACGCTTAACACATGAAAATACAATAGAAAAAAATAAAAGATAAGTGGGTCAGGTGTTGATATTAAAAATAAAGAAGGCATCTCCTGACCTCGAGCACATGTGCATTATTAAAGAACTAGACGAATGGCCCGGGCAACGCCCGGGTTTTACCCGAGTGCGAATATATTTTAAAAACGTTGTCTTGGGTGGTCGCTATAGACAGGGTGGTCTGTATAGACAGGTGTATGTATCACACAGCTGATAACAGGGTTGTCTAGATGGCCGCTATAGACAGGGTGGTCTGTATAGACAGGTGTATGTATCACACTGCTGATAACAGGGTTGCCTAAAGTGACCGCTATAGACAGGGTGGTCTCTATAGACAGGTGAATGTAACACACTGATGATAACAGGGTTGCCTAAGGTGACCGCTATAGACAGGGTGGTCTGTATAGACAGGTGAATGTAACACACTGATGATAACAGGGTTGCCTAAGGTGACCGCTATAGACAGGGTGGTCTCGATAGACAGGTGAATGTAACACACTGATGATAACAGGGTTGCCTAAGGTGACCGCTATGGACAGGGTGGACTGTATAGACAGGTGGATGTAACACACTGATGATAACAGGGTTGCCTAAGGTGACCGCTATAGACAGGGTGGTCTGTATAGACAGGTGAATGTAACACACTGATGATAACAGGGTTGCCTAAGGTGACCGCTATAGACAGGGTGGTCT